TTCTTATGTTCTTATGCATCACCAATGCAATAATACTTGTAAAATTAAAGAATATTTATAAATAAAATGATTATATATAAACTATATAAAAACATAGCACAGAGTTAGGTTTAGAGATTGCATACTTTTAAATGATACAATATATTGTTTCAGAGTTTTTTTTAGTAATAATTAGTTTACATTCAAGAGACTGCAGATATTCTTTTCTAATACTGAACAAACCAATAGCCATTCACATGTCCAATTATTGTTTATTACACTTTGGGTGTCGTCTTCGTACAGTCAACCTGCCTCATTTGACTCAGAACCATTTCTATAATTCATTTGTATGCAATTTCACCTACACGGTACATTCAGAGACGTCCGCCCAGCTCTACCCCGAAGCCACAACGCGGTGAATGGGGGGGCCGGCACTATGGCCATGCTGACTGATGTGTAGGAGGTACAGAACGAGAGGGAAAACTTCCGATGCAGGCATCCACCCTCCCATCTGAAAAATGCGCAGTCGAACAGCGGCAGAAGCGGCACCACGAGCAAGCAAAGGGGAAAAAAACGGAAATAAATTCGTAACTCGCATGGGTCATTGACCCCCCCTACTGGCAACACTAGCTTTTAACACCTTCCCCATAAATTAAATTTTACTGCCAATTGTTTGATCCTGATGCAGTCCCTGCACAGCCAAATCAGCAGTGCATACGCTCGAGCCAAATGTTTCATTACATTAGAGGGAAAAAACAGGGGAATTATCCCGGGCAATTACCTTCCTGCAATATTGTAATGCTCTGTCTCAGTTCAGCACGCATGGAGAACCTACAGAATTTCCATACTTTCAATTACAAGGCCTAAAATCATTATTGTCATTACTAGAAAAGGACAGAGGAAGCGTGCTACATGGGTACACTAATCTACAGCAGCAAATGTGACAGGCGTGATTTACCCTGATGAGCCGCTGCCCAGGCTGCTGCTTCCAGGGTGTTTATGAAGTCACGCGTGCCGCCATCTCTCATTTCCCCAACCATTCCATCACCTCCATCTCCCGGGCGACCCACTAGCGCAAGCTGCCAAATCCTGCTGTTTCGGGAGGATCGTCCGTCGCACTGTCGCTACGCTGCCGATTGAGAACGTCTCCTACTGTTCGCCTACCCTTCGCTACTCTGTCAAATATTGTGTGCACTTGATTGCAAATGGTTAATAGATACAGAGATAGTAACTCATTTAAAATGGTATATTATAACTTTTGTGAAGTTTGATTGTCATCCCAGGCATAGATAGATAGATAGATAGATAGATAGATAGATAGATAGATAGAGTGAAAAATAAAAATGTGTACCGTTTTAGTTTTAACTAGGCTAGTGAGGAGATGCCTGTTGTGTTAAAAATAATAATAATAATAAAATAAAAATAATCTCCTTGCAGTTCCAAAGATGCCTCTTCTCCTGGAACGAGAGAAATTGCTTCTCTGCTACTCTGATATGTGTGGCTCTCTCAGAAAGAAGCGATCTTCAAATCTGTCCTTCTCTGGGGAATTCCTCACATATCTCAGCCTGCTGGCAAGCTGGGTGCAGGTTCCTCACGGAAGGTAACTCCACCCTTGATTAATAAAGATGACTATGGCTGTATAAGGATACTTAAGCTATCCCAGTTTTAACTATAGTGCATTTAAAAAGTATCCTTGCAGGTGTGCAGCGCCTGTCTGATAGCAGTCCTCTATGTCAGGCTCCAAGCCTTTTCCCTGCTGCCAAACCTCCAAGTAACTCCAAAGGAGTGAGCAGGGGAAAAAAAATCTGTTACATTCACAGTACTTCCTTGTCTCATCTCCAGAGGACACAATCATTAAAAATCATCTAGCCTAAGGTACACATTTTAAATATTAATCTGTGATTAAGCACAGTTCATAAAATAGATCCTCCATTCAGAACTTTATGCATTATTTTATTGAGTATAAGTATAGAAACCGTACCCCGAATCAGTCAAGTTGAACAGCATTCAAGGACATGTTTATTTGCACAAATATCTGAATAAAAATAAAGCTCTTGAACTTTATATTTGTATACTAACAGCTCATACAATTTTCTTTATTTTCAGCAAACATTACAACAAATCAGTTATTACACCTTGAAAATGAAAAAGAATTATTTGAGCCAATGATCTCTTGGAAAAAAAAAATACAGTAGCATTAAATGAATGTAAAACAAAAACAAATCAGTCTGCAGTCGTATTGCTGAGAATGCTGAGAGCCCAGGACCTATTAGGGTTACGGAGCACAGGCTGAAACCTCGACCATAAAAGCATGAAGAAATGAAACAGAGTACAAGTTTAGTTACCTGATGCTGGAATCTTTCATTGTGCGCCTACCTGGGCTTCATCCCCCCGATTTTAAGCTGAAAAGCAGGTTCTTTTCACGAGGCGCTCTGTGGACAGATAATGAACGAGTGAGGAGTGAGATGGAAAAAAGGAAGCCAGAGAGAGAGAGAGAGAGAGAGAGGGAGAGAGAGAGAGGGAGTGAGAGAGCAATGGCAGATCTGAAGAGTCTGTAAAGCCAAGTAGCACAGAAAGCAGTAAAAGGGATATGAGGGAATCAGCAATCTGAAATGTTTGCTAATATGGCTGAATAATGAATGTAAGGATGGTTCACACACGATGAGAATTTTTCTGGGATATCTTCTACAACCACCAAAATCCTTCAGATGATACTGAAATATCAGTACTTCCTTTTTCAGAAGTGTTTTTTTTTTTTACTTTATCGGCAAAAAAAAAAAACTATCTGGTTAATCTGAGGCTGATAATATTTATTCAGTTAAGTTCACTTACAACCTATATTCACAGCAAGCAAGTACCGAAATATTTCAAAGAATCTATGAATGTATTCAATAAAAAAAAAGATAATGTGCTTTTAATCAAGTCTATCTGGAAATATATCTGTATGTATATCACTCAGTGTATTCTTTGATTTTGTTGTGTGATGCTCTAATGTTGAATATCAGACTGATTGTGATGAGGACCCATTATTTCTCAAAGACATACTGTAACAATCCAAGCAGCACAGTGCAATGCAAGTGCCAGCGCACCATCAACCTGTAGCTGCCTGAGAGTCAATAGGGGGCAGTAACACAACAGCCAGACATTTTAACCAGTTGTACCGCGCTCTTCTTATGGGTTGAGCCAACCAGAGAGGCCTGTTGACAGTCATTTCAGATCTCAGAATAAAGGACGGGTTCAATGACAACATTCCAGCCTAGTGCCAGGTGGTGACCCTGATCCAGTTCTCAGTGACCTGAGAGTTTTACGCGGAGTTTTTAGTATGATAAGAGGCGTTCAGGAGGAATAAAAAGCATTTTTTTCTGTTGTTTTTATGTGCTAAGATTTTTCGGCATTCCTATGTCACAAAGTTAACCAGGGGGTGGATTTAAAGGGTAAAAAAAACATGGAGAAGAAGCAGAAAAAGCAAGCGAACGGTTAAAGAAAGATCTTACACAGAGAGAGTATTGTGCTGAGGATTTTTTCATCTCATTTGAGCTTTTCAGTATTCTAAATCCATCTCCTTCTCTCTTTTCTGCTCTTGCTCTCCTACTGTTAATCCATCAATGGCAGAGGGGGGGTCCTGATTGTGGTGGAAGGGGAAAGGCGCGGAAAGCGCCGTTCCCTCCTACGGGAGTTATTAGTCACCCCTCCCGGTCCTCCGCGTTTTCTGTGAGCGCTGCCAGAATACCGCAAAGACGAACACCGGGGTACGAGAGAAGGGTCGACTGGGAGGGGAGGACGGCATCGTTTGGGAATATGGGATAAAATGAGCATGCAAGTGACGGAAAAGAAACTGGATGGTGGAACCGAGGAAGCCGTTTCCTTTACCATTCATTCCCCAGCTCCCCACCACTAAAATCAAGTTACAAGGGGCTGTGTAAAAATGAAAGTGCTTCATTGGGGAACCCCCGCAAGCCAAGATCCTCCATCTTCTTGTCTGAATACAGCCTACCGGAATGGTTTGCTTAAAGCACCCGTAGGTCCCCCCTTCCCTCTCGGCGCTGTCTCCTGTTTTCCGCAGGCAGACGCGCCCGGTTCATTAGCATTCGCCGCCTTTTCGGGAACGCGGCTCGCTAGCCTGCCTGCCGTGACTCCAAGGCGAGAAAAGCGAGCGCGGTGAGGGCAGAGCTCTTCCCTTTGATTTGACTGCAAAAAAGCCCACTGTTGTCAAAACTGTCAGGCAGGCCTTTCTCACGCCGCAGGAGCCTTCACGGGAAATGAAATGTGCTTCACAAGTCGGCAGTCTAGACTATTCTATAATCTACCGAGCTATTAAATGACGGCGAGCGGTATCAGCAAACACATAACGCAGGATTGCAATAAATGCCAAACGCTTACAAATAGTTATTTTTGGTCAGATTATTTATTTTAGACCCCTGCCCCAAATTACTTCCCTTGGATACTTGACAGCATTAGAATGCATAAGAGATTTGTGTTCACATGCTTGTCGGTGGATTTGCTAGTCATTGCTATGCAGAGCGAAATCGTTTACGCTTCTTCTTAAAGATTATTGACACCATGGGTGACATTTAAGAGTCGGCAACGTGATTATAAGTCATGCAGCCATTTTTACTGTATTTATTTTGACCAGTTGACTTGTACCGCGCAACTTAAAAATTCATTGCAGCCTTTCTGTGTCCAGGTCTGTAAACTGCTATTTGTATTGCCACGTTAATTGGTCTGTGGCTACTTTGAAAACAGAATTGAGCTCCAGCAGTGTAGTAATAATACAATCATGCATTTCAATGGAGTTTACAAAGAACAGCATGTCCTTAATTGGGGACCATGAGATTATCCATCCATGCATCTATCCATTGATTGACGGACTAACCGGTTTTTGGATTTAAAATCTGCAATGAGATGGACTGACATACAGTTCATGATCTGGGATTTGTAATGTTTACCAAAATAGTCTCGTGTTGCGGCATTACTGCATTTTAAACTGGTGTATTCTTTTTGAAGACAGAATAACTAATACATGATCATCTGAAGGGCTCTGCCTCACTTTCCTGTAATTAATCACCTCCGAGGTGCAGTCTGACAGCTCCGGTAGCACAGTCTCCTACTTCCCCCGCTTGTTTCGGGGCTCTGGGCTTGTCTGGTTTGAGGGACTCTGAATTAAGCAGAATAACTGCGGCGAAATTTCTCACCCCGGTAGCCCGAAGCACAAGACCGAAACGCGGTTGCCTGGGTGCAGCCAGGGGAGGTTGGCTGTCACACAACAGTTTAACTCCAAACCTCAGTCTGTTACACGGCACCGACGCTCTTCAAGCGAATCCTCCAACTATAGCACTCGGGTGAGTCGCCCCGCTTCGCTAAACCCTGATATATAGTTACCGAATCAGAAAATGGAAGGACCGTGTGGCGTGAAGGGACACGTTTGCCTCTATATTGTTTCCGTTTCCCTCTACAACTTTCATTTTCAAGAATTTAGACCAACTTTTGACCATACTTTTTAAATTAAAATATTGTATTTTGGGTTTTTTAAGAAAAGTTAGATTTATTAAACATGAGTGAAAATACAGGAGAGATTTTATAATCCTTTTCGGTTTAGCTGATCAGTGAATTTATTACAAGAAAGACGCTCACTTATTATCTAGAGGCTGTGAAATTTGACAGGTCTGCGTCTTGAAATAAAATCTGTAATTAATACCCACACGCTCCAACTGGTCAGTTTCAATAATGTCAGGCCTTCGATGGATCAAGGGCTTATCCGAGTAGCATTCAGAGAACGGAAAATCTAGCAAATGCCATGAAATTCACTCTGGCAGATGAAATAAACTCTGAACTATGTAGTACTTCACTATTTTAAAGAATATAGACAGCACTGAGTTTTTTTTTCTTTCTTTTTTTGCAGAGACTAACACTTTATTAACCTCCATTTATAATATGGCGTTCGGCTGCTTGAACAGGCACCCTTTAAAACTGATAAAATGCATTCTTTCATTTATGGTCAGTTTGATTGTGATGGATGGTGTCTGGCCACATTTTAAAGAAACTTTGGCAGGCGACGTCCTTTCCTAACCTGGCCTCATCTGTCTCTATAAGAGGTAATCGACCCTCACAAGCCATGGTCTCATTGTATTCAGGCTGCCAGAGAACCACCTTCGATCAGAGGAGCTGGATCTCAGTACATCTGTGATATGTGGAGGTGCCAGCCAACGGAGAGGAGCAAGGGTGGAGGCCGCAGGTCTATCTGCTGTCCTTCTCGGCTGCTGAGGATGCCTGGTTTTGTGTTATCGAGTGACAGCTGCATACCAAAGTAAACGAGGTGGAATTTGGGCAGAGGAGTGTCTCTGTATTTCAGCTGAAATTCTTCCATGTTCGGACTGCTTAACTTTGGCAGGGGTTGGTTAAAGGAGCCGGTGACTGCTCCAGCAAGCACAGGACACAAGGTAGGGGGACACCCTGGATGGGGGTGCCAGGCCTGCTTAGGTCACACACTCATAGTCGCACAGACAATCTAGAAAGGCCAGTCTGTCCGACCAACGTATCAGAATCAGGTTTATCGGCCAAGTGCGTGTGTGGCACACACAAGGAATTTCCAGCAGTTAGTGCCTCTCCGGTTCATTACAATACAATAGAACAAAACAGTACAGATGAAATGCAATATGAAATGAGCGCAACAGAGAAACAAACTCTACATATGCAGAGCCGCACTTAATCCAGACTGCAAGGTGTAAGACAACAGAGCCATCAACTGAGCCTCCCTCTTTGTAAATATTTGTGTTAATTTTATATTATAAAATAAATGCAAATTTCTTCTGTTCCAATGAAATGTGTAATTACAGGAGGCAATTGCACGAGATTGCTGGCTGTTGAATACTCATTGATGAAAGCAATTTAATGGTTTCCTCTCTAAACTATAACCTGACATAATCAACCTTCACCAAACTCTGAGGAGGAGAATGGTTGAACTGGAGGTAATGGAGAAAGCAAAAACTGAAATCAGAAATGACCCCCTCCCCCCTCCAGTAACCCAGACAGCACAATGAGGGCTCAGATGGCTAGCGACACTGGGAGGATCCGGTGCGGAGGACCTGGGAGGTATCAGCCTGACTTGGTGAGAGAGCGGGGTAAAGCACTGTCTGCCCTTTCATTACTCCTGGTGGCAGCTTTAATTACCCATCGGCACCCTGCTGTCTCCTCAACAGGAAAGTCAGCCAGATGGGCGAGAGGAGGGGGCGAGAGGAGGGGGCGCACGAGCAGTGGGGGCGGCGGAGGCTGTGGATTACGATTCCCCTCACAACCGACCCCAGCACTCTGTGAGAGCTCAGACTCACTCAGCTGGCCGGACGCCAGCTTGCAGGGCCCCGGGGTGAGCGAGCTTCTCTCCTCTTCACTCTCAGTCACCGTAGCCGCTCTTCAACCTACAGGGGGCGCTGCTGACGAGCCCCAGGCAGGGTGTGTTCAACTCAGTCCAAAACCTACAAGCGCAGAGTGTGCTGAAGCAAGTTAATAAAATCAGACGACAAACAGCATCGTTCCCTGGAGATTGGAGACATATGAATTTAGGTTTGTTTGTGAAAGGTCAAGCTTGTTAGTATTTGTTAATATGCGTACAGTTGGTTAAAAGTGGATTGTTAGATTTGGGGGAAAATTATTTAAAATGATTTCATTTTAATGGGACTGGGATTTTTCTAGTTGAGCGAATGATTATAACCTATGTTTGTGGCAGAAACAGGAACATTTAAGCACTGCTTTCTAAGCCATTTTAGGAAGTATTAACTGTTGATTAACAAACTCACGAATCGTTCAAACTCTCATGGAACGCAGTCCAACTCTGACCTCTAGTGTCAAAATAGAGAACGGGCACCTCTTTAACGTCATCATAGAGCAGGACATACTGTGTTTATTACAATATTTATTACTGCGCCTATATGGAGTTTTTAAAAAGCTGTTTCCATTAATCAGAATTTAAAAATTATAAGATGATAAATACCTAGATTAATTTTCGGCTGCATGGGGGCTTGTGGGTAGGTAACTGCTGCATAACGCCCCCAGGTATGAGGGTTTGAATCCCCCCCCCCCATGACCCTGACCAGTATATGCAGTTAGAAGATAGACGGATATTTTAATACTGTCATTTATAAGCATTAATAGCATCATATATATTGTTTTGTTTAATCATACCATACTCATCTAAAACCCAGAGCCTGGCTTTGAAAGGAAAAACAGACACATATTACAATGCTTGTCCAAAAAAATAGAACGTTGAAAATAAACAAATCCTCACTTGGTGTCACAAATTCAGCATAAACACGGCACAAACAAGAGTGCTGACTGATTTCTTACATTCAAGGGTAAATGTATTATTCTAGTCAAATAATCAGGCACGGCTGCACGGCTAAAGCTTTGCAAAGCTACAACGCAGACAATGTAAACAACAGATAGTATAACCATTAAGGAGTTCGAGCTATGGGTGTTGCTTTAGGAAAGGTCACTTTGGATTAATACATTAAGGGGCTGTTATTTGGACCGGTTTTAAGTCAGGACGATGCTGAGTTGACTAAAATTAGTCCACATTTAAAAATGAGTTTCTGAGATTTGCCTAATTGCAGTTAGACTGGGGATTCCCAGCCTTAGGTAATCGATTAGTCAGATCATCTTTTCGAAGCCTGTACATGCACACTGACAACAGAAATGTTGTGTGGAACTGGAATAAAACCAGATGAATGGCAAAAGTTCAGAGAAAATGTTTGAAGAACTTCTTGAAGCAAATTGTGTGGAACCACCTTGTTATTGGGAGCAAAAAGGAAAAGACAAACTAGGATGCATGGACTGTCATTTGTAATGAATTCAGCTTAAGTGAAAAAATAACCAGCAGGACACCAAAACAGCTTTAGGTACGAATATTTATTGTTGGCCCACTTTTACAAATCAGATTCATTTTTAAGTGTTGGTTTCCTTATAGAAGTGGGGACAAAATGTATTATTCTGACAGAAATGTGACATGAATACTATGTAGTATTACAACTGATTTCTATATTGCAAGTTCTTGTGGAAAAACTTAACAACAAACCTGAAGACAAATGCTGTGGTTCATGGAGAGCATTACAAGACAGGTGGTGGACATCTAGGAAGACCAGTCAGGTGAGGGGGAAGCTGCAACTGGAATCACTGATAACAAGCAGACATTTGTATCCATCCCCAACAATCATAATTTGGATAGATCTGAAGGGCGACCATTCTGATATGAGGTTAAGTAGGACATGCTCACTCAGTCAATATACATTGTCAGTTTTGTACTTCCATGATATAGGTTAGTAATTGTACTTTATGGGATGCTGTTGTCAGATGCATATGTTTGAAGCTGCTATTCACCAGATCATGGAGGGACTCAGACAGAACGATGGTCAGTGCCAAACTCCTACAGCCGCTGGTGAAGAGGCTGATCGTTACAAATTAGGGCTGCAGCACAGGCGTAAAGAAGCAGACTATGAGAAGCTGCTCACGAAAATTGCACAAATTCAAAAATATTAAAGCATTTAACGAATGACGATGAAAATCCCTGATATTAAGCAGGCTGTGATGGAGGAGGGGGGAGTAACTTGAAGCAACAGCAGCAGCCACTTTACTGTGGGATCCAGCACCAGGTTAGAGTGCTGAGATTTCCTTTCCTATAATAAAATAAATAAATTCCTTTATTACTGGTCTTTGCCTGTTGTCTTCAATCATCTGGTGTGTCATGAGAAATGCTGCACTGCAAAAATGTCTATGCAAGCCAGCCCATTTGCTGGGCTCTGTGGATTAGCAATCTGTACCCTTGTGCGGAAGGTCTGGCAGAGGAACCGTTTCGCCACTGGGCCTCTGAACAAGGCCCTTGACTCCAGCTGCGCCAGGACTGCTGGTCTGGGTAAATGGCTGACCCTGCGCTCCGACCCCCAGCTTTGTTCTCACCTGAATATATGCGCAGGGATGCGCATAACTGGTATGCATTTGCCTTATAAAGCAATACATGACAATTTGTCATAACAGTGCAGGTGCATACCTAATTCATGTGCATCTCCACTGCTACGACAAAAAATGACTAGGCATTTTAACACTGACACGGCTGATCTGACCACAGTATGTAGGTTAAAATGCATAGCAACTTCTCATAGCAGTACGCATTTGTCCTATTACTACAAGTAATTGCCACAAATCACTTTACATGGAAAATGCATACTTGAGTACTAGTTATGTGCATCCCTGTGTATATGTGCTGTATCACAAGTTAGGTGAAAACGAAGGAATTTCTTGTACAACTAGCAAAATTAGTCTCAAGTGTGATTTATTCTAAGATGGTTTAAACGTTTCTAAAGCCACGATGACCCCTAAACTTCTATTGGAACCACAGGCCCGACTAATTAATTAGAAGCCATATGGATTAATTCAGAATTGTCAACTGACAAAAACACCACACATAAAAACAAACACGCTAGTTTCAATCAAAGAGAAAGGGAGTAATAAAATACACTTTATTGGACATCCTCTTAAACACCTTTTCATTGCAACACCGTTCAGCATATTTCCCACTTGCAAGCTGTTCTCTGTGCCAATGACCCCGTCGAAAAACCCACTGACAGTGCCCAAGTACAGCTCTCACATTATCGTACAAACAATGTCTATGAAGACTGATTACATGGTTTTTTTTTCCCCTTTACTCAGGTGGACCTAATTTCGTATTTTAAAATCTTAAAAAGATCCATTTTTGTTCTGAAATTTGTTGCTTTACTTCACATCCAAAACATGTTTGCTCATAAAAATGCTGTTTGTTGCTATGGAAGTTTCTGGGAGCGCGAAATGCAAAATCTTTGTAATAATCCGAATTTTAACATAGAAGAAACAGCTACTAATCTTCAGATGGTTCCATTCCTAGAAAACAGAACTGACGATGAAAATGTTCTACAAAAATGGTCTTTAAAAAAAGAAAAGAAAAAAAACTTAAGATTGCCAGGCAGTTGAGCCAATGTTTGCTCATACCATGAGGCAGAAAGTGTACCTACATGCGTATAAAGAACTGGAAGAACCCCCATCACAGATGTTAGCCTATAAAAATGGTTAACTGTGGTTATCTCAGCCAGAGCACGTAGGAAAAGTACAGCTTTCAGAGGGGGAAGCCTTCCAGAAGAATCACATTTCAAATTCACAACTTACTAAGAAATAAGCTCAGTAACACGTTTAGAGATGTAATGAAACAGCCACATAACAGCGGAGGAACTTTTCATTGGCCAGATTACGTGACTCTATCCAATACTGTAGAGAAGAGAGGGTTAAGCATTCCTTTGAGTTCAAGATACATT